CCTAAGATAAAGCAATTCTATATAACACTACTCTTAGAAAGGGTCTTAAAGTAAAGGTACCTTAGACTTTTAGTAAGTCTAGGATTTTTATATAAAAATAAGAATTTTATTATTTTATTAACTAAATAAATAAGTTAATACTTAAGGCTACTTAATTTAATAAAGCTAAATATTCTTCTTAAATAATAGTTTAACTAAACAAGTTACTTAATATATATTATTACTTAAGAATCTTAAGTATTAAGTAAAATATTATTTAGTTTTATACTAAAGCTTTTATCTAAGTTAACTTAAAGAATAATTTAATAATTAATATTTTTATTTATATATTAATTATATTAAATACCTTTTTTTATTATTTCTAAATAACTTCTTTTATATTAACGTTTAAGATATATATCTAATATATAACCTTAACGTTTAAATTAGTTATTATTAAAAGAGGTTTATTATTAGTTTATTTAAGATTTATATTAATAATAAATTTATTAAAAGCAAAAATCCTTAAAGTATCTAGGATTTTATTAAAATATTTAGGTTTATTTTCTTTTATTTATTTAAGTCTATTTAGGTTAATGAATTCCTAGATATGCTTTAACCTTGCTTTAAGCTAAAGAGTTATATACTATAAGGGCTAATTGCTTTACGTCTTAAGCTTCTTTATAGCTTTAATAAAAATAGATATATTAAAGATATTAGTTTAAGAGAATAAAGATAATTTGTTTAAGAGAGATTTTTTAGCCTATAGTACGCTCTAAACACAGTAGTTTAAGGGTATAACATAAGCTAGGCTTATAACTATCATAGAATCATTACTTAAGGTAAAAAAGATATAAAGAAAACGGCTTAGATTTCTATGTGTAAGATTACCTTGTCTAAAACAAATAAATACGTATTCTGCGTGGTGGATCCGCACAAAGGGACCAGACTAATAGTTAATCCGGGCCCGGCGTAAATCTCATAAGGCTGTGTGTAACAGACGCTGACAGTGACGTCGGTCGCAAGGACCCTTTGACTCTACGGCCTAACCAATTGACCCAATTGACCCAAAAGATCCGTCAGTGCTTGTACGCGTACAAGCCCTGCTGTCAACACTGCTTATATGCCCTTGTGACATACAACCATCTGGCTAAGGGAGTTGTGCTGTTACAACTATACCCTCTCCTAGGCTGCCTTGTCCCCAAGGCACACATAGGCAATGCAGACCCCCAAGGTTAGAGTTAGCGATGAGACAAGTCCTACCCCGCCTTTCGCCAGCGCTCGCCTTGACAGCCAGGGACAACTACGGGAATCGAACTTGTGACGGCAATCAAGCCTTTCTTTGCCACATGCCAAGTCCAGCAGCTGTTAGTCTGACCGTACGCGTGCAAGCACAATTGTAACAGACGCTGACAGTGACGTCGGTCGCAAGGACCCTTTGACTCTACGGCCTAACCAATTGACCCAATTGACCCAAAAGATCCGTCAGTGCTTGTACGCGTACAAGCCCTGCTGTCAACACTGCTTATATGCCCTTGTGACATACAACCATCTGGCTAAGGGAGTTGTGCTGTTACACTGTGCGATGTGCGTGAGGGTATTGCGACATAAGGTTAATGCGCTAAAATACTATAAATAGTTAGGTATAGTTCTATTAGAAGCTATTTAAGAGACTATAAACTAATAATTTATTTAGCTTCTATTTAATAAAGCGCTATATATAGCAAATATCTTAGATATAAGTATAAGTTAGTTATACCTTATAGTATAAGGTTAGTTTAAAAATTTTGCTTTTTAATTTACTTAGCTAAGTATCTACTACTACTGTTATAACAGCAATAGTATAGCTAGCTTAATTAATAAGAGGTGTTTAGGTATATCTATAAGGTTCCAGATTTAACCATAACACTTTAGTCCCTTAGGTCTTATTATTAGCTATACCTAATGTTAGCGTTAATATAATAGTGTATAGAATAAGTTGTTATATTATTGCCTTTATTAAGCCAAGGTTTACTTCTTAGTCATTTACCTTGACGGGAGATGAGATTTATATAGCAAATTTGTTTCTTAATAAGAGCTAAGGAATAAAGTAAGAGGTTATACTACTACTTGTTACCCCTCTAATAAGGCAAGTCCTTCAGAGGAGCAGTCAGATCTATTGTGTAGTCTAACAGACCTTATGGTTGATATAGTGAACCTGCTTCACCAAAGATAAGATCTAGAAGATAGAGGTGAAAGAAGTTGATTCCCTTAATGACCCTGTGGGAGGTCTACCTTATATAGTGGTAGACCTCCTGTGTCTATCGGCAGGGGTAACACTAGCACCCAGCATTAATTGCCTAGGACGTTAAAGCAAAATTATGGTATTATTGTGTATAGCGGGGGAGAGAGGAGATCTTTGTGAGGGGTATTATAAGTAATGAGTGCTTTATCTAGAGTTCTCTTAACGGAACTGTTTAGATATAGTAATATGCTTATATAAAGTTTTGTAAAAAGAATATTAACTTTACTATTTATAGCAAAGATCTTAAAGTTATAGTTTAGGTAAGAATAACCTAAGAAGGCCTAAGCCCTTTAGTCTTCTTAGAGTGTAATAATAACGCTAAGAGGAACGGCTTTTTTTTAAAGAGCTATTATATTACTTTAAAAGAGGAACTTTTACCTTTTTATAAAGCTAAGTAAGTCTTTTAATAAAATAATGCCCTTATTTATATATTCTACTATACTTAAGAGTAGCTTAAGGTAAGGGGTATATAGGTTATTAACTAGCTAGTATATAGCTTAGATCTTAACCCTATTAAGCATATATAGAAGGCTTTAAAGGCTAAACTTTATAAGCTATATCTTATAGTTAATAAGCTGCTAAAAAGCGAGGTAAGCCGTAAAGAGCTTTAAAGGTAGTTATAGGAGGCGTATAATGTATTTTTGTCTATTCTTATTGTATGATTAATGGACTTAATATAAGATAAGATTGCTAAATATATTAAGGCGTGTGGCTAGTATATGCGATTTCAGAAGCATTAATTTTAGCTAGAGCTTATACTGAAATATAATGCTGGATAGATTGTCAGCCCCGAATAATGTGGGGCAGAACATCATGTGACCCTTATTGGTGTGGCCAGACTAATGACCCGGCACTGTAGTTGATGGGTCCAGGATAGCTTGGAGAATTGACCAGCCTTTCGCCTTGTCGAACGTGACGAACCATGCAATTCTACTGGGCATAACCCTGACCGTTTCTAGGGCTGACAAGGATGATAATGTGGAAAACATGATAAGGCGCTAGGTATCGATGAACAGATCAGCCGGGAGAAATACACACCCGCTATGGTCGCTAATTTGGGGGGTTCACGAAGGGCGGAAAGTAGACGGATCAATCGCAACCTGAACTAGCCATCAACCACTGCCAGTTCAACCGACTTCAGCAGTAGTAAGTTAAAGTCTGTATTCAGCAGAGATTGCTCAAAGGATGGTGAACTGGGGGCAGTTCGAGACGGTTGCATTTCTAACCTTTAGATAAACGATAGAACCTTGAATTAGTTCATCTGAAACTCTAAGCGAGTAAGCTAAAGGCGGGTCAATCATGTGGCGCAATCTAGCAGGTTCGCTTATCTAACGATTTACTCACTCGCCATTCCCGAGGTGCTTGTGAACTTTTTCTCTTGAATTCATAGGTTCAGTTCATCCCCTTAATTTTTACTTTGCCATTCATCTCTGGCGTCCCCACCAGAGCTTCGCCATCGAACTGAGGATGTAGGTGGGAAATCCGAGCTGTACTGGCATCTCAAACGTTAGCTTGACGAGGGAAAGTAGTTTGTGTTCTTGCTGTACCAAGCTACCTGTTAATAGCTGAACGGGGAAGACATCGATCAGTTCCAATGGCACTGATCATTCTCGCAGACCAGAAATACTCCTGCTTCTCCCTTTCAACCCCTAATCTCGGCCCCTCTTTTTTTGACAGCTCTTTGTATTGGTCTCACAGGCGGTGAGATACTCGTACGAGTCGATAGCATCGGTCACGTTAAAGTGGTGATATTGCTGGTTATATAGTATGGGTATGAAGAAGGGAGATCTAGCTGTGCGGCCAGCAGCAGGGTGAAGTGGGATATGCCCCTTGTTGTGGCTGAGGGGCTGACCTCACCTTGCCGGGTGTGGCTGACCGGGCTGTGCTCCCTATCTATCTGATGCCTTCGATTGCAACACTTTGTCTCTGAAAGATGACCCCTTAGTAGCTATACTATAATAGTGTAGATGTGGTGGGTTTGCTAATTATCGTTTGTCTTCCTCTTAATAGATTTTTTAATTCGACCAAGAATTTGCGCTGCGCCTCGCGGACAATTGCTAAGACCGCTCACCGAATATGTTCAAGCCGCCCGGACGGGAGAGCTTCAGGTCTTGGGGCATCATCGAACAATCGCTCACGTGCAGCTTTGCATCTCAAGTCTTCAAATGGAGCATAGTAGCTCTTATCTTACTTAACTAGAATGAAGTATTACGATATCGGCGGCTTACATTGTATTCGTAATCAAATAGACGAAGTGACAATGGCGATGAGATTTGAAAAAAGTATTTTCCCTCTAGTTATATCCTCACTCCTATGAATAATATCTTCCTCTTGTGATAGTTCAGTATTTTTATGACCCGTTAGACTCCACATCACGGAAGAGCCGACAAGTACTTATTGTCTTAGGGTTCACGTGCTCTGCTTTCCCTTAAGTAGGGTTGAGTTACTTCAATATCTGCTGGAAAAGAAGAATTTTCATGGAAGAGCCTGACTCGCGTAGTAATGAAAGAGAAGGATCTTCAGTAAAGATCTTTAGCATTGTTGTTCACTAAATATTCAACCAAAGTATGGTCAATTGAAGTTGGTCGCGCTGAAGTGTCCCAGATCTAGGCACACGTAATAAACACAACACAAGGCAGATCGCCCAGCCGTCATTTGTTAATCAAGAATCGGCAACACTACCGATATTCTACAGTCTCACGTCAGGCATAGAATTTTTTGGCGGTCTTGAACTACAATGCAGCTCACCTCACTGACTGCCACCAGCTCCTTGGTGCACGTTGCCCTCTTTGAAACCGCCGATGCCTGTAACGGCTACTTGTTTTGCCACTGCAATAATGACGATGACAAGCCCAACGGAGAAGCCAAGAACACAGCATGTGCCCGCTACGCAATTGGACAGTCTGACTTGGTTCCTGTAGGCGATGCGTCTGACAGAGCCCAGGAGCGCCACTACACCGGGACGGATGGTTTATACTACGGCAAAGCATGATAACCTTACCTGTTCGGTAGTTACGACTGGCATGACATGTGCAAGGCAGCCAGAGCTACTGATTCAGAATCCAGCTGCAGAGACAATCCGGATCCGGAGGACACCACTGGTTCATGGATTGTCGATCATAGCTAGACGAGTTGCACGGGCCTTTCAGCCAATGAATTTTGCCTTCCGTGCTCAAAGTTGAAGTAATCAAATCATCAACGGTTATTTCATTTGTATACGGCACTCTTCAGTAGCACCATACACCTTGCAATTTATCATCCAAAGCATAGATGATGTATTGCTTTGTACCTGTGCTAGTTCACAAGTAGAACGGTATAGGCAAAGTATCGCAATACCCTCACGCGTATCTCGCAGCCTTGTGAGTTTTGCACTGGGGCTGGATTAACTATTAGCCCGGCCCCTCCATGTCGATTCACCACGCAGGAGACGTATTTATACGCTTCGGGCAAGGTAATCCTGCACGAAGATAATCCAAGCCGTTTTCTTGTTTCTTTTCATAGCCTAGTGGTGACTCTGCAACACAAAGATATCTAATCAGCTGGTTGAATCAGGAAGCTAATCCTTCTTGCTGATGCTCCCAAGCACCTCACTCTCTGACTCGTCCAGTTATAGATGAATTGTAAGAAATCATTAGATGTGTTGTTCCGTTCAAAACGTGCGCGATAAGCCGAACAGGCCCAGTACCGGGTGTATTGCAATGACGGAGGCGGCCCAGAGCCGTCCCAGGTTAGTCAGATGTCTCGAAACTGTTACCAAATTGTAAATTGATTATTGTTATCTGTCAAATCCCTGCGCGAAAGCCTGGCAGTCATTGGCATCATCCTGTTCCCTACTACCTGTTTCCAACTCGGCAGCTTGAACTTCAATCATCATCGCTGGACATTTTATCTTCGAAGTGCTGATTAGAATCTCGACGACTCAGATACCGGTGTGTCCACGCAAACATCATTAACACCTCCCCTTGATGCTATGCCTCCACACACTATAGGAAAGAAGTCTGGTTGTCAACGCCGTGAGCAGAAAGTTGATTTTGATCTATTATTGACTCAAATCACATATTCCTTATAGAATTTCTTCATGGACAATCCTCCCCAAAATTGAACCACATGGTCAAAATGAACCTCTTGAAACCTGGGTTATGTACAACACTGTTCCAATATCAGAATACTGACTAGAAATGCTAAATGTGACCTAGCTTGCGGGGTGTGGCTATAGATAATCATATACTGGCGCTGTATCATGCAAGTTTCGCGACATCGCTCATCCAGTGCACCTTGTGTTTAGATAAGGGGATGTGAAACGTCGTTTCCTTGGTGATGTGGGTTACTTTGCAGTGCTCATTGCCAAAACGCCTTCTATTTGCCTGATGATTCAGAATATGCCAGCTGGCTCAGTGACAGATGCGATCTATGAGAGCCAGAGACTTGGCTATTTTTCAAATGCCCGAGTGGGCGACGTTCTAGTCCACCATGTTCCCCATGTAATGGCTGTGGGAGTTTCATTTGGAGGAATCCAGATGGAAGCTCGATATAGGTTTCGCTTATTTTTCGGTTTTGCTGTGGTTTGGTTGATTCATGTCGGGTCTAGTCTATGCGCATTTGCCTAACGCACCTCCGGGAGCCGGTTATGGGCATACATACCGATAAACAGGGTGGACCTCGACCACGGTGAGACGAACCACCGTTGTTGCATGAGACCCTGCTCCGGCTGCAGGTCAACTAGTTCCGGCGCGGGCATCGCCCCAAATCCGACGCTCTCGACCTATCGCACCACTTGTTGACCCCACCGCCTGCCATGATCCTGGCCCGGAAAAGCTCTGGGCGATGCATGTTAAGCCAATTGCGAACGGATGTCAGGCCGGACAACGTTCTTCGCGAATGTCGGCGCATCTTCAAACCGAGTAACTCCTCCGGGCCTAGACAACTTTCCTCCACCATCTGGAGAATGGTGTTACACCATTTCCATATTAAAGCGGGGGCTACCCTAGTAGTAATGGTCGGTATTTAGGATTCTGATTTCCCCTCCCTGCCTAGCGATTCTCGTACCTCCTTGAATCTTGCTTCCTTAAACAGTTGACTGGAACTGACCCTCCTTGCGAGACCTTCTGCTGATCATACGTCTACTTTAAACTTTGGATACTTCTGACCTCGTTAGCTCGACTAGATATGCAGGAGACACATATCGTAAGATACAAGTCTTGGCTTTCGGTGTTCGGTGTGACAAGACTGATGAACTCGACCCAGGTGGCTGAAGCTGACGACTTTGAGGAAACTAGCGATGTTGGTTCCACTGATCTTATTCTTTCTCCAAACGAGATTTGTCTCAAGCGAGAAGTTCCCAACTGACATTACACTACTCTCCAGCAGTATGAAGAGTCCTCAGTGACGTCCTTAACAGCCAGCATTCGAGAACATCGAACCGAAAATGGTCGAACCTATCACTCAATGAGTGCCGGAAGTATGTAAAGGGTTTATCAAAAAGTATTGACATTATTTGCTAATGGCAGGAAGAGTACAACTACCCAAACGACGAGGTCAGTCTATTCCAGTTTGTAATAGTCTTTTACTGCAAGACCTGACAGCAGGGACTAGCGGGAAAATGATCGTCTTGGTACGTTCTAAATCGTTCTCGCTGGAGTTAGATTGGATGACTTGTGCTCCCCGTTAGGAAAATTGCCATTGATAACAACTGCAGACTTTCAACATCAAATTTGGAACCTTACCCTCGACGGCGAGCTCGCTGTTGCACCAGCTCACAAGACAGCCAAGCGTGTACTAGATATGGGCACAGGCACTGGCGTGTGGGCTATAGACTATGGTACGGAAATCCGCAATTTCTTTCTTGTGTGTCTTATGATGCTTGTTTCATCTTCTCTTCTTTTCACAATGTTTACATACTGACATGCACGTTATAGCGGATGCATTTCCTGCTGCTGAGGTTTGATATCTAGGAAGCCGCAAAGGGTGGAACACTCCTAGCTGATCTGTCACAGGTTATTGGCGTCGACCTGAGTCCTACCCAGCCTGAATGGTTAGAGAAAGCCTGCTTATATTGACGAAGGTTTCTAACGTCATTATGCTTGCAGGGCTCCTCCTAACTGCATTTTTGAGATTGACGACCTGGAAAAGGAGTGGACCTGGCTAAAACCTTTTGATTACATTTTTTGCCGAACGATGGAGGGCTCCTTTGCAAACCCAGCGGCAATTATCCGTAAGGCCTACAAGTAAGGCAAATCTGAAAGCCGTCCTCGTTTTATGTGCGCTGACAGAAATCCTTAGGGCTTTGGAGCCTGGTGGCTGGTTCGAGGCCGGAGGCTTCGTGTTGCCATTGGGCTGCGATGATGGTACTCTTGTCGAGGGTTCGCCCTTGCGCCAGTGGCAGGAGCTCATGGTTGAGGCTGGAAACAAGATTGGCCGCTCCATCGAGAGTCCCGCAAAGTACACCAAGGCTATGGAAGATGCTGGCTTCGTTGATATCACTGTCAAGAAATACATTTGGCCTCTAAATTCGTGGCCCAAGGATCAGAAACTCAAGGAAATTGGGAAATGGCATAATGTCAATCTCAACTTGGGCCTCGAGGCACTGTCACTGGCTCTTTTCACGCGTGCTTTAGACTGGACGCAAGAAGAGGTTCTGGCTCTCTGCGCAGGAGTACGGAACGATCTGAAGAACAAGAACACGCATGCGTACTGGAATGTGTAAGTTTGTTCCCTTTTATGTAACGCATGGAAACTTATTTTCAAACTTCGCAGACAAGTAACCTACGCTAGAAGGCCGGAGACAGCCACCGACGAAGATGCGGACAGCACGCCAGCCATCCTGTGACCTCAAGTTGGATCAATGCTGGTACGGTATGGGGACATTGTGTCTCAACCCGTAGCTTACAGCCCGGGATAGAAATAATACGGCGTGGCGGGCAGAGGGCACTGGGCTAGGGCGAAAGGAGACGCTTCACAAAGCCCATTCCTTTTTTCGATTTCTTTACTGCTTCACTAGTCAGCTGCACCATTCCCAACCTATTCATCTCGCAGCTCATACTTATCAAAACTCGTTTGTTCCTTTCGAAAACATTGCCTGCAAAGAATTGTGCATGTGTCTCTCTTGGATTATGCACGTTTCAAAGTGTTACCGCTCTCGACAATTGAATCAATGCACCCGACATCAAATTATGCAGATCTTGTGCTGTTGACATCAGATAACAATGTCACACTAGTGTTTCGCACAGCCCTGTCGGCTCAATCTAATTATGTCCCGTCCAACTACTACCACTAGGGACGAAGCACTTCTATTGTCCTACACACCTTATGAGTCCCACGAACTTCGAGTCGACGAACATCAATATTTCTCATTGTTGGATTGCAATTTTGTTTTTTATCTCACTAGTATCCCAATTGACGTGCCGGATTGCTCATGATAGTGACTGCTGTGGACACTGAAACGGTGAGAACTTCTGTGCCTCTCTCGCACACAGACCTTTCGCAGTTCTACAGCACCACCACAGCCCGATCGGCACCTGCACCGTCCGTTGGACGGTGCCATGATCGTTGCAGGATTGGTCAAGTAATGAATCTAAGATCCTCTAGAGCTTCGCCTTCCTATCGTGGCTTTGTTATCAGCTGCTACGCAATCCTCGAATATCGCTGATGTAGCCTGTCGAGGCTTCAGTTGATGCTGCTTGTATTGTGTTTTGGTTTGGTTTTGGTTTCTGCATCTTTTTCCTCGGTCGTCCCGTCGTGTCCCGGTTCTAGATCGTTGGCTTCACCGCTCGAAACGGGCGCTTCAGCGCCAAACGCGGTGCTTGCCTTCACAACGATCTCTGCCTATATTGATTCCGTCACAGCGGAAGCTTAAATAGTTCCACAAGCACCACGGTCACATCGCTGACGCCAACGCTTTCAAATACCGTGGGTAGACCTAATAATGCAGTGGATCCCAATCCTTGAATCTACAAATCTGGAGTGACCATCTCCCTTTCCACGTGGCGAATCGCATTGAATCGAAGCATTTTGGCAACAATCATTTCATCAGGCCTGCGAAATCTACGGCGGGCTAGAATATCGTTGGTGGGGCGGTCGGATTTGTCTTCATGGAGGCATTTTTCTGTTGAGTTTGACAAAAGTCCGTTGCATCGGGCTGCGGTGATTCCTATCACCCCATCGAGTGTTTTCGCTTTCTCGTTTTAACTCCTACCTTTGATCTAAGATCGTTAATTCTTGAATCTCCAATTGAGCTAAAATACCTGGACAATCAAATCGATTGGTCTACCCTGTTCTTACGAGTAGATGGGATAACCTGTGGAGGATCGGCACGATGTAGCAAACACCAAACACCCTGGGCCAAGACCACCTGTAAACACATATTCTTGTGTGCATCTTCAATGACTAGGTTCATGTTCTATCAGATAGAAACCAAGGGGAAATTTCCGGCTGATTTTAGCTTGACAATAGATCTGATCTGCCAGAGGGGGCTGTACTCGGGAAACTGAGAGACCCGCTCAGGCTATTTCCTGAAGTACAGTACACATGGACGAAATGCTTTAGCTTTAAAGTGAATTTGAAGACACGCTCCTGAGTGGTAGTGGCCTTATATCTATGTTGTGGAAGGAAATACTGGCAACTATATCCCGTATTGCCTATTCTGAAAAGTTGCATAACCGCGCTTTAAGGTATGACGTTCCACCAAAGTACTTGGTAAATCTACGGACACTCGGCAATTTTAAAGCTCACCATAATTTGTTGCAAGCCTTGAGCGGTCTATTGTTACGGCCCAACCAGTTGGGGTGCTGGCCGGCGTAACCATATAGTGCAGAACAGGGGATAATTTAGCAGGCGCATCATTACCGAAGCTTTGAGTTATGCCACAGTTGGTTGCTCTGACCTGCTCGTAACATTCAATAATGCGATCGTTTTGACTCGCGACACAGAATCCCAACATTGCACTATTATAGTTTGACCTGCATCAAATACGAAGTTGATCACCAATAATGGGCGAGCGTTTTCGACACATCACCTTAAGAAAGCGTCTGGTGGCAATCTTCTACTAACGGCTGCTTTCAATACACCCTTCGCAAGCGGCAATGAGGGTGTCGCTGGCGTTTGTATTGTATGCTCCTACAAATGGCGGTATGAGAATCCTGGCAATGAAATTAGGTTGTAACATAGGGACACTCATAAAGTTTGAAGCAACCAATTCAGCGAGACTACGAAGTCATCGGGGCGGGAGCTAATCTCAGCTGCTCTGAATGGTATTCAAACACCTTGATACCTTTCCTCATTGATCAAGGATACTACAACCTACGATATGGACCTTAACCATTCGTTGACAAACTGAAGCAACTTTTGCTTGCTATTTCTGTTGTGATTGTCACTTGTTCTTTTATCTGCAGGAGTATCCGACTGCGCCCAGCACGGCTTGAGCTTGCCTTAATAAAGTCCTGCATCTCATTGTTATCCTTGTTTGGTTCTTGTGATCCAAGTTTTCGCAGCTTTTAACACAACAGAATAAACTGATATGTCTTTGGTAACCCTAGGGCATAGCATCAAAATGAAGATACTCGATTATGTCTGGGTTCAGTTTGATGACAGCTACCCATGCAAGCCTGGCTACTACAATTTCATCAATGTCTATGAGTTTTCTTAATCCTGCTGCGGTAACGGGGTAAAGTCTAAGATGCAATGCTTTAGGCAGGTATAGAAAGCATGCAATATAAGAGTTCTTTAATGCCCTATTAATACCAGATGCAGGTAATATGCTGGCAATACCTCATGCTTAGTTGGTAAGTTGCTAATGTAGGCTAAGTCAAGTCACCCATTTCTAGGCACTCCACCCATGTATGCACCCACAAAACGAAGCTATCGCAACAACACCACCCTTTTCAATTAACTATCGCCGAGGCCCAGATGCAACTATGATACAGCTTTCTACTTCACTAGGGCAATCAGATACGCTAGATTCATCTGTGTCAATTTCAACTTTACTAACCTCGATTTAGGCTTACTATATATTGCTAATATGAATAAACTTAGTATTAGGGTTAATTTTAATAATCTTCTTTTTTTTTACTATAATATTACTGATTTAGTCTTAGAGAAGCTGTATTTAGTGCTAGGTAATAGCTAACTAGAAGGACTGCTCTTAGAAGCCTTTTTTGACCTTTTTAAAGAGCTAGCGTTATATAGTAATACTTTAATTTAGTTTATTAAATAAGTCTAGTTAACTATTAAGGTTCTTTATTTTTCTAGGCGTAGACTATATAATAGTAGATAAAGTAAATACTGGAAAGGGATAGGGTTTTGCGTTTTCATTTTTCCTTTTATCAGCCTGCAGACATAATCACAGGCCTGATCAGACGTGACTAAGCAAGACCCTTCCAAGTACAAAAGGGGACTCTAGTCAGATACTATCACAGAGATCAGCATCTTAGCATAAACAGAGAGATAAGCTTAACATCTTTAGACAGGCACTTAGATAAACATAGACAAATTTATTACTTTAATATCTAAACAAGACATATAATAAGTAACTATTGCTTTATTTCCTTAGGCCTAACTAGACCTCTAAGGTCTAAGAGGGTATCCTTTTCCTCTAAAGATCACAATATATATATACATACTACTTAGTAATAAAAGCAAATCTGAACAAACTATAAGACGTAAAAGATATACTTTTCTAGTTTACTTATAGCCCTAATTAGGCTAAGGAGGACCTGAAAAGAGTAGTATCTTATAGTCTAGGTATTAAGGTAATTACTTAAAGTAATTAGTTACTCTAGGTGTACTTATAATAATACTAGGACCTTAGTATTTAGTATAGTTTATATATTAACTATTTACTTATTAGTTTCTTTTATCTTATATAGTTTTAATAATACTTTAAAAGTAAATTAAATACCTAATCTTTTTATTATTTTATTTTAATTATATAATAAATCTAATATTAGTACCTTAAAAATAGCTTTAACTAATAGAATATGTTATTAAAAAGATATAAAAGAAATAATATTTTTAACTTAATTAGACTTAGTCTTAGATATAGAAATAAGCTTAACTTTAAGAAACTATAATAAATAAGACCTAAGAAAAGTAGGATTCTTTAAAAAAGTAAAGAAATAAATAATTAGCTATAATAACATAATATAGCTAAATAAACTTTTTATATAAGTAATCCTTTTATAAGTAAATATTAAGTAAGCTTAATTAAAAAAAGGAGCTTATAAGACATAAAAAAAAAAAGAAAAATAATAAGATAAGAATAATATCTTTTATTAAGATTAGTAAGCTAAAAAGTTCTCTTAGTATAGGTTATAAAATAATTATAACTATAAACTAAGCCTAGAACTTCTTAAGATCTTATTATTATATAAGCCTTAGTTTAATTAAGTTTAACATTATACTATTAATAGAGACTAAACGTTTTAGTATTAATAAATTAGTAGTAATAGAAATTTAATATTCCTTTAAAATTAGCCTAAACTTAATAAGTACTTTTTTTAGAAACTTAATTAAAGATATAATAAACTAATACTTTATAAAAATATATAAAATATTACTTTTAAGTCTAATTAAGTTAATAGATTAAGCTAAGTAGTAACTTTAAAGAGATTTTATATATAGTACTTTAAAATTAATTTAAAGTAATTAATACTATTTATACTTTTTATAACTAGTTTACTAAGATATTAGTAATATATCTAAGCTAACCTTATTAATAACTAATATAAAGTAACTTAGAGGTTTAACTAATTAGGTTACCTTATTTGCTAATAAAGCTTTCTAGAGTTACTAAGGCCTTAATAATAATATAGATACTAAGTCTAAGACTAGTCC